CCCTCACGCTGGCTGATGGCTACACACAGTAGCCCATGGCAACCCACTGCAGCAGGGGCTGCAGCCTACGCTATCGCCATCGCTGTCACCAGCGACTCACAGCAGCCCAGCTCCAGGTTGAGCTGTTGTTCAGCATCTTAGCTGTAGAAGGCAGTGTCACTGGCCCTCATATGTGGGATCCGAACTGGGGCCCTCTGGCGTCCCAAGCCAGCTCTTAATCAACACGCCACTCGGCCGGCCCAATAATATATTTTATTAAACCCCACATAACCAAAATATCGTTTCAACATGTAGTCAATATAAAAATTGATGGACTATTTCACATTCCTTTTTTCATAGTAAGTCTTCAAAATCCAATGTGTACCTTACACTTATAGAATATCTCAATTTAAACTAGCCACATTTCAAGTGGTTAATAACCCCATATAGCTTGTGGATGCCATATTGAACAGCACATACCTAGAAGAAAGGTGTAGTGTCCCAGCCTGGAATTTAAGGACTTAGTCTCCCCTCCACCCTGAATCCAGTGCTAACTAAATAGAGGAGACCAAAAAAATCATTTAATAACCCCTCTGCTAACCTCTGTTCTCTACCAATCATTCTCTCAACCAAAACAGGACTTATCAAGTGTCTACATTGTCAGGCATCATTCCAGGAGCTGGGGATACTGCAGTGAATAAAACAAAGCCCCTACTTTCATGGAGCTTATGACTTCAATGGAGGTGGACGTGGGGGAGATAAATTGGTAAGTAGGCATTGTGTCACCTAGTCAAATGTGTTGTGAAGAAAAATATAGCAGGGTATGAAGGTCAAGGACAGGGCAGATAGTGGATTGCAACTTGAAATAGGTGGTCAGGGAGGACTTCTCTAATAAAGATTTGAGCAGAGACCAGAAGGAAGCAAGGGAGTGAATTCTGCAGTTCAGTGGAAAAGGAGAGTTCCAGGCAGACTGTACAACAGTTACAGAGATCTTAAAATGGGAGCACTCTTGACATGTTCAAGCAGGAGCAATGAAAACAGCATGGCTAGAGCTGAGTGGATGGGGAGTGGGCAGGCACAGATGAGGATGGTTGGAATATGGTCAAAGAGGAAACGTGATGGGGCAGATCGTGTAGGCATAATGAGGACTCTGGCTTTTACTTTGAGTGGAGGACTGACACGAACTGATAAGGATGCTGGAGGTAAGTGGGTTGAAAAGCAACAATTGTACCTTTCCATTGGGCTATGCATATAAGAAGCAGCCCATTCCTGGGAAAATGCTAGTTTGCAGCACTAAGGTTGGGAGCCTAGCATTGCATATAACAGAGGGGTAGATCTACCTTATTTCCCATAAGGCCATTCTAGAAAGTTCATAAAGGAATTGTGTATAAATACGTGTGCCTTGCAATCCATGTTGACGGTCGGCTGTCCTAATGAAGACTGGCCAAGAACTGGTTCTATTTCTTTGAGCCATCTAGTGTTTGGCTGAGAATCATCAATGTGTGAACGTTCCTCCTTTTTTGCTGCTCTTAATTGTAATAATGGGGAAATTCGCTGTGGAGAAAGAGCCCATGAATTCAGAAGGAAACACAGGAAAGGCACGGTGTCAGAAAGAACTGAAACTGAATTTGAGTTCTGCCATTTGCTGACTGTTTGGCTTTAGACAAGTCACCTTGCCTCTCTGAACCTCTTTTTCCTCCTCTGTCAAGATGGTAATATCTACCTTCAAGCAGTATTTGGCATATTTACACATATATAGTGTAAAGTTGTTGGTGTGTAGCAACTGTTCAATAATTGTGATGTGGATTGTGATGTGTTCAACAAATTTTTGAACACCTACTATATGTAAAGCACACTGTTATGGACTGTTTGTGTCCCCTCAAAATTCGTATGTTGAAACCCTACTCCCCTATGTCATAGTATTAGGAGGTGGGGCCTTTAGGAGGTGCTTAGGGTTACATGAGGTCATGAGGAAGTGCCCTCATGAATGGGATTAGCGCTGTTGTAAGAGTCTGGAGTTTGCTTTGCTTGCTCTTCATCATGTAAGGATACAAGAAGTCAGCAATCTGCAACCCAGAAGAGGGCTATCACTAGAACCTGACTCTCCTGTTACCCTAATCTCAGACTTCCAGTCTCCAGAACTGTGAAAAGATAAATTTCTGTTATTTACAAGCCACCCAGTTTATGCTATTTTGTTATAACAGCCCAAGCTAAGACACATACGTATAAAGAAAATACATGATTCCTCCCTTCAGGATGTTTACATCCATCCAGGGAGATGAGATCTGCACAAAATATAGTATTCAATAAGACAGAATGTACTTGCTCAAATGAGAAATATAAAATATAATAATAGCTACCATTTATTGATTGTTTACAATAAGCCAGGCACTATGCTAAGTGTTTCATAAACATCTCATTTTATTTTTGCAACCTCCGCCTTAGAAATTTTTTTATCTCTATTTTACAAAAAAAAGGAAGCTGAGGCTCAGAGATTGCCCAAGGTTGCACAGCTGTGTAGTGGCAGAGGACAGAAGTGAGCCCAAATCTAAGCAGCAGACCTCACATCCTTAGCAGAGAAACTCATCCCTTTAATTCCTAGGCCTTATCCAAATTTTACCATATTGTTCACCCATTTCCTGTCCATCTTTTTTTTAATTTAACCCTACTACACAATGCCGGCTAAAACTTGAGTAAATACTTTGGTGTATCAAAGGACCCATAATTCACTAAATTTTCCATTCTGGTTAGTGTCTATATAGGAAAAGAGAGGCCCAGCAATTTTACAATCTCCTCCAGTCATTATAGCACTGAGAGCTTGTCACTCTGCCCAATATTGTGAACCACCAGGCTTATCAGGAGACACATCCTAAGCCCTGGGGTATACACAGCTCTAATAACTGTCAGACTCCTCTACAAGGTCCAGTTCTTAGCCATCTTCTCTTCCTATTTTGCACACTCTTTCAGGGTGATCTCATTTATTCTCATGCCTGTAGCTACCGTTTTTGAAGCGCTGACTCTGCAATCTCTACCTCTAGCCCAGCTCTCTCTCTCCTGAACATTGGCTGGGCATTGCCATTTGGGTGTTTCATAAACATCTCATGCTCATTGTATCTACATATGAACTCATCTTTCCTGCCTCACCCACATAGTTTTGTGTTTCTTACTCAGAAAAAAGCACTATCATGGCACCCAAGGTAGAAATCTAGACATTTGTGACTCCCTCTCCCTGTATTTACCTCTGTTTACTTATCAAATCATTCTTTTACATTTTTATTCTTTTAATTTTTTATTTTAGAAATCAGCCTTTGTGTGATAATTCATTTATAAACCTTTTAGATTGTCTTTCAAAGAATATTGTTCTCAACCACTTTTGATTAATATTCTTCTATATTTTTAAAATCTGTCTTTTCTTCTGCAATTATCTCTCATTAGAAGTTGTGCCAAAGTTCCTAACTGGTCTTATTTTTCCAGACCCTCCTTTCCAAAGCATTTCTCCACATTACAGCCAGAGTGATCTCTTGAAAGCTCACATCTCTGCTTTAGTCTGACATGCAAAATCCTCTAGGATCTGGGCCTGACTCCTTCTCCAGACTCATTTCTCATCCCTCCTAACCTCAGATTCTATATCCTAATTTTATTGAACTCAATGACCTTTTGCATAGGTTGTTCCTATTACCTCCCATTTTTGTTTTTTGTTTTGTTTTGTTTTTTTAGCTGAGCCATCCTGTCACCTGTTGGCAGCTCAGCGGGGACTCGAACCGCTGTTGCTCAGAGCTCAAACTCTTGAGCAAGCTCTTAACCAACTGAGCCACTTGGCCAGCCCTTACCTTCCATTTTTATCTGGCTGACACCTATTGTTCTTTCAGGTTACTTTGGGCATTAATTACCTTTTCCAAGAATCCTTCTCTGATGCCAAGATGAATCAAGCAACCTGGTTGTTTCCAAAGCAGTTGAGCTGTTTATGTTCCATTATCCTATTAAATTGAATCACACAGTACTGTCTCCGTTTAATTCTGATTGCCACACTTGCCTATAAACTCTTGAGGGCAGAGACAAAGTCAACAACAACTAACAGAATGTCCAGAACACAATAGACTTGCAAGAAATATTCAATTAAAAAATGAATGAATGGGAAGTAATATAGTTTACAGTGGGGGAACTAGAGCTAGAAGTTTCAGTTTAAAGTAGTAATTAAGAGCGTGGGCTCTGAAATCAGCAGCTTAAATCTGTATTCCTGCCTCTCCACTCCCTTGCACGTTATTTAATATCACCTTGGCTAAGTTTCCCCATCTGTAAAATTATAGTAATAATTGTTCTCAGCTCCTAAGGCTGCTGTGAAGATCAAGTTTGAAATTTTGATATTTTGTTCATTAAGGACTTTTTGGTATTAAATTTGTAAAATATTGCATTACAATATTATTTATCTTAGTTACTGAGTTTTTTGGTATCCCCTTAAAATTTTTATTCCAGGAGAGTGCAAAAAAATTTCCTGGAGAACAGGTTATGACGTAAAGGTCCCACCTCCCACCCCGTAACTCCCCGAAGACGCTTCAAAGGAGGCCGCCATCTTTCATACAGTAGCGACGCATCTTGCGCATGCGCTTCTGCTTACCAGGAAAAGAGCGATTTCAAGCCCTCTCGGCACCCTTACGCTGCGGGGCGGCAGTGTGGACGTTTACGCGACATCGGCTTTTTGCCGGAAGTGAGAAAATAAAGAAGGAGTGTTCCAGTGTCCAGGGGGCTTTAGCTTTAAGGTTGGGGGCTAATTGTTTTTCAAAAGCTCAAGAGTGCTTGGATGGCCATAATTCCCCGCTTTATGAGAAGAAGCTAGAGCGCGCACGGAGGTGTGTTTCTGGTGTAAGTGAACACGTATTCTCAATGCTGGCTTAGGAGGACCTGTACCGTCATAATTTCACGCTTCCGCCCGGCTCGCTTTAAAAGACATTTTCAGAGGCGGAACGCCAATTTTTTGGTCTGGTACGGGCTCTCACCAACTTACTGTGTGTCCTTGGGCCCTTCTCCGCTTCTCAATATCCTTCCTCATCTAGGACTGGCAAATCCCTTAAGTCACCATCAGTTTCTCTTAGTATTATTACACGTCCATTATGTTATCTGAGCCAGAAAGTCTTGAAGGTGAAATATCATTGACCCCATTTTGTAAGGAAGACATTGAGGCCCAGGGTGAGAGGTTTGATGACTTCCTCAGGATTGAACAGAAAACTTGTAAATGTTTCAAACCTTGAGGGTACAAGATCGTGCTCTAACTCCGTGATCAGGTTTCCTTTGTATATTTCTGTATCATTAGTGCCTGGAACTGGCCTATAGCAGTTACTTAAAAAGTTTTGAATGGACGAATGAATCTTTTGATGTCAAGGCCAATGACACAAGCAGATATGGGTGTCTCCATCTCTCTGATGTACTAAGTAGTATAACTCTTCCCCAGGTGTATCCTGTGCTTTACTTGACTGGGGACTCGAAACCCAGTCTGTTAAGTTCTTCGACTTAATCAGACATCATGGAGGCACCTCCGGTCACCATGATGCCTGTCACTGGTGGCACCATTAACATGATGGAGTACCTGCTGCAGGGTAAGTGAACCAGAGAGCTTGGATTACCCGTTTTCTATTCAGCGTCTGTGGAAATGAGAGCCTGTTATACAAACGCAGCCTGCATAACTTCTGGCACCTTTACTTTTAATTATGGTAACAAATGCATAACATTTAAATTTACCTTCTTAAACATTTTCAAATCTACAATTCAGTAGTGTTATGTATATTCACGTTTTTGTACACACGATCTTTGGAACTTCTTTGTCTTGCAAAACTGAAACTCTATACCTATTTAACACTAATTCCTCTCTCTTCCACCCCCAGCCTTTGACAACCACCTTTCTACTTTCTGTTTTTGATTTTGACTACTTTGGATACTTCATACTCATGGAATCATAGAACTTTTGTCTTTTTATGATTGGCTTATTTCACTTAGCCTAATGTACTCAATGTCAACCACATTGTAATATGTGACAGGATCCCTTTCTTTAAGGCTGAATAACGTTCTGTTTTATGTATATACCACATTTCTTTTTTTTTTTTTTTTAAGATTTTATTGGGGAATTGGGGAAGGGGAACAGCCAAGTTGTTGTCCTTAAATCTTAGTTGTAGAAGGTGCAGCTAGCTCAACTCCAAGTCCAGTCGCCATCAGGCCTCCCAACAGCAGCTCACAGACGCTCAGCTCAAGGTGCCATGTTCAATCTTAGTTGCAGGTGAGCGTAGCCCACCATCCCATGCAGGAGTCGAACTGGCAACCTTGTTGTTAGGAGCATGCGCTCTCACCAGCTGAGCCATCCTGCCACCTGTTGGCAGCTCAGCTCGGGCGCAGCTCACTGGCCCATGTGGGAATCAAACCAATGACCCTGTTGCTCAGAGCTCGCATGTGCTCTTATACAACTGAGCCACTTGGTCAGCCCTATACCAAATTTATTTACCCGTTCTTCTGTCAATGGACATTTGGATTGCTTCCACCTCTTGCTTATTGTGAATAATGCTGCCGTCAACATGGGTGTGCAAATCTCTCCAAGATCCTGCTTGAATTCTTTTGGCTATATACCCAGAAGTGGGATTGCTGGATCATAGGGTAATTCTATAATACCATTATTAGTTAGCTCCATCTTATAGATCAGGAAACAGGTAAAGTAACTTGCCCAGAGGAGAAAACTTGAGACCCAGAAAGGGTAATGCTTTTTAGGACGTCATATAATGTTTAGTGAAAGAGTTTAGGCTTTAATTCAGATCATTCATTTAGTAACTTCATATGAACAAAATAGGGTTATTAATTTTCACTCCTCAAGCTGCTCCTCCTTCAGTCTTTCCCATCTCAGTAAGTGCCACTGTCATTTCACCAGTTGCTCATGTCAAGCATTCAGGAGTCAATCTCAATATTTTCCTTTATCCCACGTCTAGCCCATCTCTAAGTCCTATTCATTTTACTTCCAAAATATATTTTAATATATAAATATTATATATCACTCCCTGGTTTATCATCCCTTAACTATTTTACAACCTCTTACTTATTACATTGCTTCTACTTTTTTTTTTTTAAGATTTTATTGGGGAATTGGGGGATGGAACAACGTTGGGGAATTGGGGAAAGGAAACAGACAAGTTGCTGTCCTTTGGTTCTTCAGTCTAGTTGTGGAGGACGTCGCTTCACTGGCCCATGTTGGTATTATCATTGCTGTCTTCCCGGGTGAGGCAGTCGCGCACCGGCCATTGGATGGCCGCTCATGGTGGCTCACGGCAGCCCAGCTCCAGGTCGAGCTGTTGTCCACACTTAGCTGTAGAGGGCACAGCTTACTGGAGCATGTGGGAATCGAACCGGCAGCCCTGTTTTTCAGAGCTCGCACTCTTACCAACTGAGCCATTTGGCCGGCCCAATAATTGTCATTTAAGTTTCTTTTAATTTGGACCAGTGTACCCTTGCCCCCACTTTTTTCCCCTATGACCATGTCTTGTTGAAGAGTCCGTACCATGACTTTTCTGAAAACCCAATAGTACCGAATAAAACAATGCAAAAAATTGAAAAGGGATTAACTTTCTCATAATGTTATATAATACCTTGGTAGTATAACCCCTCTAAAATCTTCTTTATTGGGCCTATACTTTACAAAAATCTACACTAAACTTTGGGGTTTTCACTTGTTTTCTTTTCAATCTTTTGCTAATTCCATTATCCAAAATGAAAGATGGGACTCAACAGTGCTTTTTCCTTCCTCAGGAAGTGTTTTAGATCACAGCTTGGAAAGCCTCATCCACCGCCTACGTGGTTTGTGCGACAACATGGAACCTGAGACTTTCCTTGACCATGAGATGGTATTCCTCCTTAAGGGCCAGCAGGCCAGTCCGTTTGTCTTAAGGGCCCGGCGCTCTATGGATAGGGCAGGGGCACCCTGGCATCTGCGCTACCTGGGACAGCCTGAAATGGGAGACAAGAACCGCCACGCTCTGGTGCGAAACTGCGTTGACATTGCGACATCTGAGAACCTTACTGACTTCCTGATGGAAATGGGCTTCCGCATGGACCATGAGTTTGTTGCCAAGGGACACCTGTTCCGCAAGGGCATCATGAAGATTATGGTATACAAGATATTCCGTATCCTGGTGCCGGGGAACACAGACAGCACTGAGGCCTTGTCGCTCTCCTATCTGGTGGAACTAAGTGTTGTGGCACCAGCCGGGCAGGACATGGTCTCTGATGACATGAGGAACTTTGCGGAGCAGTTGAAACCTCTGGTTCACCTCGAGAAAATAGACCCCAAAAGGCTCATGTGACTAAGACAGTCCGTCCACCATTGGGGCTTGTCCTCACCTGTTACAAAAAAGAAGACATTATAAATGTCATATTTCATTACTACTAGCCAGGCATTCTTCCCTCAGGAAGGATGACAGTAAAAACTTAGTTGGTTCCTTGCACGGTTTTCCTCATGTGTCAAGTTCACTTTTGTGACAGCCTTTCTAAATTAAAGGCTCAGGAAAACATGGAGAAATCTGTATAATCCTTCTGCATAGAGAAAGGAAATGGGAAGAAATGAGTCTTTAAAAAGAAAAATCTCTTAATTGTTTTGCTATTTGTACATAAGATATGTAAAATAAAACTGTGAGCTCATGTTATGTGGGAATAAAGGCTATGAAGAGAAACGCCTGTATTTCTGACTCTTTACCCCAATACCCTGCTAATCTGGGATGGATTCATTACCAACTGGAGCAAAAAAAATGAGTTTTTAGTTGTAATTTTGATAGAGATGATATTTCTTACCTTTCATGAAAGCAGCATGTGTTGAATATTTTTAAAATACAGACAAAATTAAGAAAAATCTGTAATCCCATTATTCAAAGAGATGTACTATTTTTCTTTTGTTATATATACATCTAGTCTTTATTTTTGTAAATTTATGTATATGAGATATACTTATTTTATAAAAATATTCTGCTTCTTCCCCATTCCCCAGTGCTGTTCCCCTCCCCCGATTCCCCAATAAAATCTTAAAAAAAAAAAAATTCTGTATATACTGGTTTGTAACCTCCTTTTTAGTTTAATTTACTATTAACATCTTTCTAGGACATTAGGTTACAGTGCTGTAAAAACAAAAAACTCATTTATTGAGTTCTTATATATTGTTGGTGCTGTCCTAAGTGCTTTAGGTATGTTAATTGAATCCTCACAACAGACCTATTTTGTAAACAGGGACACTGAAGTACAGAGAGATCAATTCACTTTCCCTGGGCTGTGCAGCTGCTAATTAGCAGAGCCAGTATTTAAATATTGAGAATTATAGTTGCTATTGGTAATCAGTCACACAGATTTTTCCATAATTGATTCCTCTACTTGGGGAATTTTAGTTTGATCCCAATTGTTTGCTTTTATTTTATTTTTAATACTACTTTATTTATGTATTTATTTAGAAATTTTATTGGGGAACAGAGTGTTTTTCCAGGACCCATCAGCTCCAAGTCAAGTAGTTGTTTCAATCTATTGGGTTGTTGGAAAAGTCATGACGCATTTTTGCAATGAAAAACAGAAAAAATACATCATGACTTTTCCGACACCCCAATAGTTGTGGAAGGCGCATCTCAGTGGCCCCTATGGGGATCGAACTGGCAACCTTGGTATGAGCACTGCTGTCTAGCTAACTGAGCCAACCAGCCGCCCCCAATTGTTTGCTTTTATAAACAAGGCTGCAATGCTAGTGCTTTTAATCAAATCTTTATTGACATCTATGATGATTCTTTAGAATAAATTCTAGGGAACTGCTGAGTCAAAGCATATGCACTATTTTAAGACTTCCCATGCATTGCCAAATGCCTTCCAGAAATGTCCCAGTTTTCAACACTCCTACCAGCTATAACTGAGTTTTCCAAGACTGTTGCCAAAACAGTGTGACCATGAAATCTTGTTTTTCCCCTATGATGATAAATGGTAACTAGTTTTAATTGTTTTAAATTTCTTTTTAAAGTATTCATCAGTGAGGTTTAAATTTTTTATGTTTATTGCATGTTTTTCTCTTATGTAAATTCCCTTTTCTTCATTGTTCATCTTTATCAATTTGTAAGGAGCTTTTACATAATTTTTCCCATTTATCATTTGACTTAATGGACTTTTAAAATAACAGTTCTTGGATAAATATTGATCATTTTAATACTTAACAGTTTTTAACACACTGGTGAGAATTTGCCTTGCTAAAAACTGTCAGTTACTCAAATGTTTCACTTTTTTTCTGGAACCTCCACTTAGATAACACCCCAATTGAGCAACATCTGGACAAATCATAATTCTCTTTGGACCTCAGTTTGCCACTGGAAAGAGTACATTAATATTCTGTTAGGATGCTCTGGGCTACAAATAACAGAAAATAATATCCAAAGCTGCCTTAACTGGTAAGGATAGTATCTCGCCTAAACATAAGTTCTAAGATGGGATGGCTGCCAAGTTGGTTACATGGTCATTTCTCTGGCTCAGGGAACCTTTTCTTGGCTTTCTCCTGAATGTTTTCAAGGTAGATTTTTCCCCTTCAGTTGCAGATTGCATAAATGGGTAAATCTTGTTCCTCATTTCACAGCATATCAATATAATGATTCAGGCAAAGCCTCTTTCTTGTTTTGTAGTCCTCCCCTTTATTCCTAAACTGTGTTCTCATTCCCTGTATCCTATAGGTACCCACTCTGATATGTTCTGTGTACAAGTATGTCTTTGGTGCCTGTCTTGTAAAATATGTAGTTACATGAATATCTTTAATTTACATAAGTGTTATTGCGCTATAAGTGTTCCTTTTCTTTTTAAAAATAACATTGCTTTTGTGATATGCTCTTGCTGCTTTGTATAAACCTAACTCATAACTTCCAAAATGCATATGCTTTCATATTAACACTTAAATAGTGCTGAACTCTGTGGCAGGTGATTTAAATGTTTTAACTCGTACCTCTCACAGCCGCCATATTTGGTAATTATTACTCTCATTTTATAGATGAGATTGAGACACAGGTTACTCAAATTTTCTACTTCCATTCTTCAAAGTCAGAACTAGTAAGCAATTGAGACTAAATTCAACTCAGGCAGTCTAGCTCCAGAAACCAGGCACATAACCACTGTGCATCTGACATGTTTTACTCATTCAGTCGCTTGATAAAAACCTAGGTTGCCTTCACCTCTCCATTACCATAAAAAATGCTAAAATAAGCAAATTTGTAAATTGATAATGAATATTCCTCTGAGCCACATATCTATGGGCATGTTCAGTTTTGCCAGATATTGCCAGGTTGCTTTTCAGAATGGCTGCACTATATACATTCCTACAGCCAGTGCACAAGAAGTCATATCCACCTCCTCACCAATCTTTGGCGTTATTCATCATTCTAGTTTTTGCCAGTTTTATGGATGGAAAGTGGCAGCTCTTGATTTTTTTGTTTGTTTTTTATTGTATAAGTGACATACAATATTATATTGGTTTCAAGAATACAACATTATGACTCGATATTTGTATACATTGCAGTGATCACTACAATAAGTCTAGTTACCCTCTGTCACCAAGTTAATACAATATTATTGACTATAGTCCTCATGCTGTACATTATATCCTCGTGACTTATTTATTTTAAAACTGGAAGTTTGAACCTCTCGATCCACTTCACCCATTTCACCCACCCCCAAAGCTCTTAGTTGTTTTGATTTGCATTTCTCTGATTATAATTAAATTTGAGCACTTTTCTTCATATAATTCATATGTATATGAAATTATACAGACTACCTAGTATGTGAAACTAAGTTATCTATATCCTTTGTCTATTTTTCTAAGTGCTTTCCTGTCATATTGATTTGTAGGAATCCTTTGTGTATTCTAGACATGAATCCTTTGTTAGTTTTAAACATTACAAATATCTTTTCCCAGTATCTATCTATATCCTTTGCCTATTTTTTTCTATTTAATTTCCTGTCTTGTTGGTTTGTAGGAATTGTGTGTATTATAGACATTATTCCTTGTTTGTTTTAAACATTGCGATACCGTCTCCCATTCTGTCACCTCCCTGTTAACTCTGTGATGTCATTAATTGAGCCGATATCCTAAATTTTGGTCTTATGATTTAGAGTCTCTTTTTAGGAAGTCTTTACCCCTGGGTAACGGATTTTCCTATATTAATTTTATAGTTTTAACTTTCACATTTAAGTCTTTCATCCATCTGGAGCCCACCTTTAACATAGCTTCAAGTAAAAATCCACCTCTTTCCTCCACATGGTGAATTAGATTTTTTGTCACCATCTGGAAAACAATCTTTCCAGTGCTTTGTGACGCCACTGTTATCACATAGTAGGTGCCCATGTATGTACTTTATTTCTAAACTCTCCATTCTATTTCATTGGTCTTTTTCTTTGTTTTGATGCCAGCAACACGATGTTTTTTTATTACTGTGGCTCTGTGGTTAAGCCAGTTCTACCAGTAAGGCAGGTATCCCTACTTTTATTTCCCCCTCAAAATAGACTTAGCTTTCATAGACCTTTATTCTTTCATATTCATTTTAGAGTAAGTTTTAGTTTCTCAACATTACTAGCATTTTTGTTGGAATTTCATTGAAAAGGTATAGATTAATTTGGGGAGAACTGACATCTTTGACTGGAACATTGCCTCCCCAGAATTCAAGGTAGTAGGCTTCCTTCACCTCTAACATGTCAGAGAAGCCTTCCCTGACCATCCTAAATGAGGTAGCACACTCACCCCTCATCGCTCTCTATCTTATTCAATCTTTTTCATAGTGTTTATTACTAAGCAACTTTCGATTATTTATTCACTGCTTCTCTACCAGAATATCAGATTCATGAGGATAGGTGCTTTGTTTTATTCTCTGCTGTATCCCTAGTACCCAAAACAAGCTTGGCCTATGTAAGTCACTCTGAATATTTGTTTAACAAATTAATAAATTCTTTACACTAGGTTATCCCAATACTGACATTTATTCTGGTCTTCTTATGTCCCTTAATGAAGTTTAAATTTTTTTCTTCATGAACTTCTTAGGCATTGCTTTTAGGCCAGTCACTATGCACCAGGAGCCTGCAAATTATGTATCTGTGCATGTCAGCCTGCTATCTGTTTTATTTCTTAAGATTTTATTGGGGAATTGGGGGAGGGGAACAGACAAGTTGCTGTCCTTTTGTACTTCAGTCTAGTTATGGAGGATGTGGTTTCACTGACCCATGTTGGTATTATCATTGCACTCTTCCCGAGTGAGGCAGTCGCTTGCCTACCATTGGACGGCTGCTCACAGCAGCTCACGGTAGCTCATGCCAGCTGCCAACCGCTCACGCTGGCTGCCGGCCACTCACGGCAGCTCACGGCAGCCCACTGCAGCCCCACTAAAGCCTACGCCATCGCCAGCAACTCATGGCAGCCCAGCTCCAGGTTGAGCTGTTGTTCACCATCTTAACTATAGAGGGTGCAGTGTCACCGGCCATGTGGGATCTGAACCAGCGGCCCTACTGCTCAGAACTCGTGCTCCCAAGCCAACTTTTTTTTTTTTAATTGGGAAATTGGGGGGATGGGAACAGTGCTGGGGAATTTGGGGAAGGGGAACAGACAAGTTGTTGTCATCGTGTTCTTCGGTCCAGTTGCGGAGGACGTCGCTTCACTGGTCCAAGTTGGCACCATCATTGCACTCTTCCTAGGCGAGGCAGATCAGTCGCTGGCTTCTGGACGGCCGTTCACTGCAGCTGCTGGCCGCTCACGCTGGCCGCTGGCTACACACAGTAGCCCCTGGCAACCCACTGCCACAGAAGCTGCAGCCCACACCATCGCCGGCAACTCACGGCAGCCCAGCTCCAGGTTGAGCTGTTGTTCAGCATCTTAGCTGTAGAGGGCAGTGTCACTGGCCCTCATATGTGGGATCCGAACTGGGG